AACAGCTTAAATAAAAATCATCTCTTGAGATCTATATGTTTTAGTGATTTTCTGCAGAAGTTTTCAAAACCCTAGAAAAATTACAAAAACAAATTTAATTGTGAGATTCGACTCCCACAAGTACCACTATTTTAGACTTATTGTTTTAGGCTTAACTCTAGCCAACTTAGACTAATATAAATACACATGTACATCCTCCGCAGAGGAGATGAAAAAAATTCATTAGCTAAACACTTGTATTCTGAAACAACTTTCTTAACAGCTTAAATAAAAATCATCTCTTGAGATCTATATGTTTTAGTGATTTTCTGCAGAAGTTTTCAAAACCCTAGAAAAATTACAAAAACAAATTTAATTGTGAGATTCGACTCCCACAAGTACCACTATTTTTCAAATGTTCAAAAAATAATACTATTTGCTGAATATTCAAAATAACACAAAACTAAAAATAACTTTCAACATTCAAAACTAAACCCTAAATCCCAAATTCAAACCCTATTCCCTAAAGCTTTACACTAATTTTATAATAGTTAATCCAAATTCAAAAATTTAAATTACAAACCTTTGAAAATCAATTTTTGTATTTGTAATGTTTTTAGAATATTGAATAAATGGTATTATTTTTAGAACATTATATTGAAAATGGTGGTATTTTTGGAAACAAAATTTCAAATTTTGGTATTTTAGGAAATTAAAACTTAATAAATTGTGTATATAGTTGTATTGAAACCAAAAGAAAATTTTCAGTTATTTTTTTGGAATGATACCTACGCAAAAAAGATATGCTGGATTTATAGTTAATATATTATGGATATCAATATATCATGAACCTATAAACTGCTAATTTGGCTTGAGAAAAAAAAATGGCCTGAAAAGGACGTTAATAAATGTTATAAGAAAATGTCATGATAAAGCAAAGGGTTGTTATGAGTTGACCAATGACTAAAGCCGGGTCAGATTTTAGAATTATTTGAATGCAACTTTAATGTATTTTATAATATAAAGTCGTTCCTAAACATTCCAACTTTACAAGAGTTTCGATAAATTAATGACACAAATAGTTAAAAAAACCTTAATTAAAAAATAATTTCTTAACTACTAATCAGTGTTCTAAAATACGATAGGCATTCGCCACACGACAAATTATCAGATAGGACATAAATATATGTATGTAAACGTTTATGCGAAATATATATGGTAATTAAATATAATTTTTCAAAATAAAATATATGTATAATCAAAAAATTTATAGTAAACAGAAACATAATTATTTTTGTTAGATGGATAATTGAAAAATTATTATTTGAACTTACCTCAGATAGTGAAATGATATCGTTGATTATTTTTTTAAATAAAAAATATATATCAATTATTATATGAAATGGACAAACACTTACATATCAAAGTTTT